CAATGACTAATATCCCAAATGACCTCTATGCTATCTGTAAGACTGAAACCAGGCCATACCCTTAGGCCCTTAAGCTAGTACAGGTAGCCTATCTCTAGAACCCATCTTCTTGGAAGAAATGACATGTACCCTGAGTTGCCTTTCAGTGTAGTTACACTTCCTTATATAATGAGGATTTTATTATGCCAGGAAACTTTTCTCAGTTTTACTGGGCTTAAATATATTGGGAATAAACAGCCTGGTATTAGACTCCCTAAAGTCTGATCCAGGTTGACTAAATCAATCTGCACCAGATTTTCATTCTTATCTCTTTGTGGGGTACACTTCCCTGTATGACACCTGCAGGGACCCCCCTCAGTAAATTATGGAATTGTTTCGAATGTTGTAGCTGAAACTGAGGCCTAGTGGAAGCAGCTTGTCCATGTCATCCAGCTCCTAAGTAGCAATGCTGTGCTGGGACCCAGCTCAGGCAGACCAGCTGCAGAGCCTCTGGATTACCCATGACTTTAATTTCCTTGCTCTGCCTCTCTACCCTTATGAAGCTGATGGGAAAATCTATTTATCTGAAAGATAAACATAGTAATTTCTATACAACAGGGCTTTTAAGAAACTAGCAAATTTGACTGCAGTTTGTGAAACCAACTAACACAGAACATAATGGGTGGTGCAGCTTCATTAAAGCTTAGTTTCCTTGCAGACGTTGACAGCAAAATGGTGCCCAGAATTTCCTACATCTTTTACAGAGAATGAAGTTCTAAGACTTGAACTGACTTTCCACTGTTACAGGGCTCCGAACAGCAAGTCCAAGTCCAGAACCTTGGCCTTCTGGTCACTAGTTAGAAGGTTCTAAGCACATGTCCTCTAACACAAGGACACTGGAGGCTGCAGAGAAGAGATTTCCTAAAACAGGTCAAAATACGTGTGTAGATTAGTGTTGCCCTCGACCTTAGCAAGGGACGCTTTTCTTTGCAGTGGGCAGCAGTTAATGTGGAGACTCAGAACTGGTTGAAGACGTGAGAATGAATGACTGCTGAGTGTTCATCCTTAAATAGGACATCTACATCAACCCCTAGTCCCCAGGGTTCAGGAAACATCAAGGAAGGTAGGGCAGGAAGAACAAAGGACCTGGGATGGAGAAGAGTACTGCAAAATGGTACTTCCTGGGAAAGACATAGTTACTGGCCCAGGAACTCACTCTAGCTCTGGTCGCCTGGACAAGATCAAACAACATGATCAGTTCCTGGACAAGATCAAACAACATTCCAGCTAGTGGCACTAACTGGACTTAGGTTATAAAGTTGACAGTTGTATGAAGTGGGGAAGTGGACACATGATGGCTGGGGGAAACTGGAGGGGGGAGGGGTTGGTGGCAAATATGATGGAGACACATTGTTGATGTGCATAAAATTGAAAAAAAAAAAGATATTTTAAGGCCAGAAGGTAGAGGTTAAAACCAGCCCATTTTCTACCATGGGTCCATGAATTTGGACAGGAAAAACCTTTCTAGATGCTAAGAAAACTGGACTTTCCCTCCACTGTCAACGAGAAGGACAAAGCAAGGCGGCAGAAGCACCACAGCACGCAAGATGCTGTCACGTGACAAACCAAGAAAACTACAGAGTCGAGTGTGCCTAGTTTCGCTTGCTCTGCCCTGTCCTTGGGTCTTACTCAGCACACGAGCTAAGAAGTGCATATCTAACCGGTCACCACTCCGCTCAACACATTCTACCGAGCTTCACTGGGACTGCGCTCTTCCCAATCCTCGTGCTTTCCTCTGTGCTCTTAACTATTCTGAGGGGTCCAGGTCACTTCGCTGGTTGCCTCAGGTTCCCAGTTCAGACTGAGACTTCTCGGGCTCTAAGCAATGCCTCCCTCGGATCTTGCTTGAGGTTTCTGGAAGGCACAGAGCACAGGGCTCAGACCCTAAGCCTGTTCCTTCTACCTGTGGAGGTGTCTCGTCCAGCTGCCTCTCCAAGTACTCCAGCAGCGCCACCACCTCCTCCCCGCTGTCGGGGTGCTGCTCGCGCACCCAGGCCTGCAGCTCCCCTGGCAGGATGGTCAGGAACTGCTCCAGCACCAGCAGCTCCAGGATCTGCTCCTTGCTGTGCATATCTGGCCGCAGCCACTGTCTGCAGAGCTCCCGGAGCCGGCTCAGGGCCTGCCGGGGCCCAGCGGCCTCGGGGTAGCGGAAAGCGCGGAAGCGCTGGCGGGAGCGGTCGGGCTCAGGGCTGCCCAGCCAACTGGCCTCCTCTGCCAAGGGGGAGGCCTCTTCCTGTTCCACCTTCACCACCAGAAGCCCAGTCCCCTCTTGGGCAGATCGAGCGTTTAGGGCTGCACTCACTCCCGGCTCTCTAGCCATTCTGTGCTAAGCCTAGGCTCACGCTAGTTGCAAGCTGTGGATCCTCAGAGGATTCTCGGAAGATGGGAACTCAGTATGGACCTGTCTCCTCCCCCTATTCCCCGGGACACCCAGAGGCACAGCTGCACAGGCTTCTCCAAAAATCCTTGCCTTTGCAGAGTCCTCCTCTGCACCCCACCCTAACCCCACAATAAATATTCTCAACGAATGCCCCAGGGCAAATAAACTACATCCAGACACTGGCTGGAGCACAGGAAACATGGGAACCCAAGCCACTTCCTGGGCCATCTAGGATGCTCTTCTCAGTGGTTCTATTCGAATTAACTCATTAGTGACTCTATCAGTACCTCCGCTTAAGGGATAATTGTTGAGGAAAGGATTATAGCCCCTGAGTCCTACAGGAGTGGAGGTTTAAGCCCGGGATGTAGTGGTATTTTGCAAAGTAAGTTACCAGGAATCTTTGATTCTTTCCAATCTACAGCTTGCCTTCATAGTTGTCACAATGCTGACACGAAAATTCGGTTGGGAAGTACATTGGGCAGAATGCAAAGGTGAAACATGGTAGGAAATTTGGTACCTCTTAGAAACCACGAAAAAAGCAGGGCACTCACTTGTCTGGAGAGTATGCCTACCCCTGGTCCTGCCCTCTTCCTGCTGCTCTCTGTCCTCCCTCTCCAGGCCAAACTACCTGAGAGAAAATCATCCAGACCCTGACTTTAGACGCCCCCCACCCACTTCCCGCCACTTCATAACACACTGTAAGCAGTAAAGCGCCAGTGCAGCCGCGCTATGGCACCTGCCCAAATAACTAGAGTCCCGACTCTTCTGAGCTCTTCTTCGGCAACAAAGCTTGCATGTGACAAGCATCCAAGTTGCCTCTGTGCACTTCCAGAAACTCTCTAGTCTCCAGCCTCAGGGACATTCCGTTCCTGCTTCATTCCTTCCTGTTTTCTCTGCAGCCCTGACCTACCAGCAGGCACAAGTGTAAGATGCAGAGACTCCCTAACCTGAGAAAGGCAGACTGTCGTCAGTTAAAAGGAACTCAATAGACGGATCAGCCAGGTGCTGATAAAGATGATAAACTTTATTTCGACCCTAATTCGAACAAAACAACTGCCGTGATGGGCCCAAGATAGTGCATGAGTTCCTCCATCTTAAATTCCTGCTGAGGCCATTTCCAGGTGTAAGCAGAATGTGATCTCCTGGGGGTATCCCAGGAAACAGTACCCACCTCTGTTCTAGGAATTAAAGGTCAGGATGTCCTATCTAACTTACCTAACCTTTGTTGGAACTCCTTGTTTATGCGGAATCTTCTACAGATAACTCTTTGTCTTAGCTGTTTGTTTGTGCGGAATCCCCCTCGGGTGACCAGCCGCTTATCTTAGCTTCTGTTAAACTGCTCCTTCAAACTGCTTACTCTGCAAAGTCCCCACTGCAGCTGCCTAAGGAGATGCCTCGATGAGGTCTCTGCCCTTAAAAACATCACGTTCTGGACTCGACGGGCCGTACCTAGGTCCCAAGAACACTTGGGTATGGTCCCAGCTAGCTGAATAAAGACATCATTTGGCTATAGGCTGTGAATGAGTGGTCATCTCTGGTAAGCTTCCCATAATACTGTAAAAAAAAAAAAAATACAGCCTAGACAATGGGGAAAACTAGAACTCAGTAATAGTAAGCCATAATTGGCAATTTAACTGTTAGGATGATACTATCATTTTTATAAGATTTACTTTTATTTATTTGTGTCTGTGCATATGCCATATGTAGGCTGGTGCTTGTACAAACCAGAAGAGGATGTCAGGTCCCCTGGAGCTAGAGTGCAAAGCAGTTGTGACTCAAACTCAGGTCCTGTCATAGTTAGGGTTTCCATTGCTGTGATAAACAACATGGCCAAAAACAACTTGGGGGGAGGGGGGATGGGGTTATTTTCCTTACAAGTTCCAATCACAGTCCATCGTGAAGTCAGGGCAGGAACTCAAGCCAAGAACCCCAAGTTGAGAACTGGAGCAGAATCCTTGGAGGAATGCTGCTGAACCCTTGGAGGAATGACGTTCACTGGCCTGCTCTCCTGGTGTGTTCAATTTGCTTTCTTATATTCGCCAATACTACCTGGCCAGGGATGGCACAGCTCACAATGGGTTTAGCTCTTTCACCTCAATCATCAGTCAAGAAAATGCCACACACACTTGCCTACAGGTCAGCATAAGGGCATTTTTTCAGTTGAGGTTCCCTCTTCTTAGATGACTCTAGTTTTTGTCAAGTTGGCTCAGTAGTTAAGATCATTTACTGTCCTTCCAGAGGACCTAACTGCTGTGGGTGTCCTTCTGTACAATGTGAATATGTGTTACTCTCATTGGTTCATAATAAAAGCTAATTTGGCCTATAACCAGGCAGAACAAGGCTGGGCAGGAAAGCCAAAGAGAGATACAGGAAGAAGGGCAATCAAGAGGGTCGAGAGCCAGATGGAGAATGAGTCAGACATACAAAATGGGATAGAGATAAAGGGTACGAACCTGGGGCAGTACATGGATTAATAGAAATGGGTTAAGTTGTAAGAGCTAGTTAGTAATAAGCCTGAGCTAATGGCCGAGGATTTATAAGTAATATCAGCCTCCAGGAACTGGCGGGCAGGAGAGAACCGTCTGATTACAACTACCCAACATAGGTCCTCTGGAAGGACAGTAAATGATCTTAACTACTGAGACATCTCTCCTGCCTCTCTATCATTTTTAAGGTCATTCCTTAGAACCTTATATTGAAATACCTGTACAGATGGATGAGCCAATACAATGTCTGAGATTTGTTGAAGCAGATACTTAGCAAAAAAAGAAAGAAGGAAAGAAATAACACAAACATGGTAATTGTTGAAGCTGGGTGAAAGGCATACGGGGATCCATTGTAATGTCTCTATAGACTTACAAAAACAAAGTTTCCATAGTTATTTTCTTTTTAATTAACTCTACCTTCCTTCACTAGTGAATAATTCAGCCCAAAAACTATTACATCGATCTAAAAGAGATGGGAAAGGAGATGGCAATCCAGCCCTGAGTGACGTCCCATTCTGGCTTAACCAGTTGTGATATTAATCTTGTCAATTTGAGTGGATTCAGTGTGGGGGCCCACATGTGACTCAGTTTGAATCTGGAGTCCATTCTGACTTACAAGTCAAAAGAATTCAAGCTTGATTGCTCCATTCTCCTTGAGAGCTGTGAGAATGTCCTGATTAGCCCATGGGAAAGAACAAATTATCTAGCTAATGTGCAACCCTAGGCAGGCTGCTGATGCTAGCAGGAGGCGCATGATGAGATAAGGAAACTGCCTGTTCCTTGACTCCAAGGACAGAATAGGGATATGTTTTTTTTCTTCTTAAGATAGAGTCTGTCTGTGCTGTGCATTGTTCTACTTCTGCCTTTCAGTTTGTATATAAGCAGGCTGTGAAATAAACTTGAGACTGTTCAGCTTTGACTGGCAGTCCTCCCAACTCTGTTCTGAATCCTTGTCTCCTCTTTAATCTGCACGCCTCTATCCAGCAACTCAGTGGACTCATGGGAAGGCTCTGACAATTCAGGAAAAGCTAGGAGATTAATAAAACACACGCCTTCTGGACTGTGGTCACAAAGGCTATAACCCCTCAAGCAGTGTAATGTCTTGATGGATTCATTAGAAGACGATATAATTTGGGAGGAGGTAAAAAATCGGAGGCAAAGCCTAACTGGAGGAAGTAGGTCTTAGTGATTTTGCCCTCAGGGGCCATATCTTTCTCTGGCTCTCTCCTGTATTCCTTTCCTTTACTTCCTAGTTTGCTGTGGGACGGTCTGTATGTCAAATCTGTTGCTCTGATTGGTCAATAAATAAAACACTGATTGGCCAGTGGCCAGGCAGGAAGTAGGTGGGACAAGGAGAATTGTGGGAAGCAGAAGGCTGAGGCGGAGAGTCACTGCAGCCGCCGCCATGACCAGCAGCATGTGAAGACGCCGGTAAGCCACCAGCCACGTGGCAAGGTATAGATTTATGGAAATGGTTAATTTAAGATAAAAGAACAGTTAGCAAGAAGCCTGCCACGGCCATACAGTTTGTAAGCAATATAAGTCTCTGTGTTTACTTGGTTGGGTCTGAGCAGCTGTGGGACTGGCGGGTGACAAAGATTTGTCCTGACTGTGGGCAAAGCAGGAAAACTCAAGCTACACTAGTTAGCTGACATGTGAAAAGCCCCAGTCTCATACGACTGGCATCATTCCTTCCCTGCCATGATGGACTGAAATCCACCTAAACCCATGAGACAAAATAAGTCTTTCTTCCCAAGCTGTTTCTGTTGGGGATATTGTCACAGTGTGACAAAATTAACTAATATACCAGTGTTATTAGTTAGTTTCTCATAGTTATGATAAATACCTGACAATAAGAAGCAACTTAAGAAAAATGTATTTGGGTTCTCAGTTTAAGGGGACAGTCCATTCTGGCAGGAACATGACAGCAGAGACCTGATGAAGCTATTTGGTCATGTCTATATCTTGGCATATCAGGAAGCAGGGAGAGATGAATTCTGATGTCCATCTGCCTTTCTTCTATTTCTCATTTATTTGGTCTAGGATTCCAGCCTATAGAATAGAGCCACCCACAATCATTGTGGTTCTTTTTCCCTCAGCTAATCCTTTTGGGAAAAGCCAGTACATCAGACACATCCAAAGGTATCCTGTATCGGGGACTAGGGGGGTCCAGCCCCTCGATAGTCCCCTCCCAGGGTCCAGGAAGAATGTATAACTAGCTGATGATTAATCTCTGATGAAAAGAAATGAGTCTATGTGCACGAATCTCCTTAGTCCATACATTTTATTATTCTGTGTCGGTTCTTTCTCTACAAGCTTATACTCTGCTCTCATTTTTAGCTCCTTTCTTGCCCAATTTTTCTTTACATTTATCTGTTGTCCCCTCTAGGTTCTATCTTAATTCCTTCATCTAGTTCTGCCACTTCTAGGTTCTCATCCATCTAGTTCTTTCCCATATCAGTTCCTCTCCCATCTCTTTCTCTCTCATCTTGTTCTTCCTCATCTTGTTCTTCCCCATCTGGCTCTTCCTCATCTTCCATCTTGTTCCTCTAGTACTCTCTTCTAGCCTTTCAATCTAGTTCTTCCCATCTCAGT